AAGGATAAGTGCTCTGCAAGCTAACCTCAAGGCAAACACATTCTCAAGTATTGGGATATCAGGCGGAGTTGTGTTTGTGTTCATAACCTACGTAGTAAAGCTAAAGATGAGCGGACCGAGCACAAAAGTAGTGGAGAAACAAAGCAATCCCTCAAGCAAAGTGCAGCGCCCAGAGAGGATCAGCACGGCAGAAACTCCCTCGGAAAGCCATACTAAAAAACCTAGAAGCATCCATGATCTCCCCGGATTTTAATTCATCGACCGGGACGTTCGAGATCAGGGAGGGAGGAGTTAACACTTTAGTTACTCAAAACGCCAACATTGAGTACCAAATTGTCGCACTGACCGACGCACGTGGCAAATCAACGTGCTGGGAAATGCTGACATAAAGTGTTGGGTGTCCAATTCGGTGCATACGGGGTCAACGCGCTGGCAAGCCAGCTACCGTGGGATCGCAACCTCAGCGATTCTCGGTGCAACGTCGACGCCGACGTCAACGTAGGAACGTTGGGACAAAGGTTTCGTTAGGGCTTAGCTTAAATATTAAGGCCAGTTTGTAATCAACTCGAAAAGAAGCACATAGTGCTGTAATAAATATTTTTTTATATCAAATAAACTTAAAATTGATTAATTTATATATATATATATATATATATATATATATATATATATATATATATATATATATATACAGGTAGAAACATCAATTGCGTTATGATGCGTAGGTTGCTATCAGTAGATTGTCCTCGTCTAATCCAATAATTTCGTTTGCAGTAAATAAAACGTAGGACTGAGAACACTGCCTTGGGGGCAAACCAGCACAAATTAAACGCATGGTGGATTTCACACTCCATCAACAAGCACTCTAAAGTTTCTGTCCCTTAGAAAGCTTTCAATAAGATGGAACAGTTGAGAAGTTAAAATGCCTTTCAACTTGCAGGCGAGTCCATCATGCCACACTTCTTTCAAACGCTTGTCTTAAATCCCTGCACATAGCTTCCAGGGCGAAGTCGACCGAGAATCTGATCGAGAATCACGCAGACCGTCATCTTCCCAAGGGCAGGCAGAAGACTGATTGGCCCTGTATTCATCAACTTCAGTATAATGCTTCTGCGGCTGTGGTATCATCGTGATTAGCGCCGTCTTCCAGATGCTTGGAAAGTGCTTCAGCCTGAGTTTTGCTATTCATGATTAGGGCTATGAACAGCAGAGCCCTTGCAGGGAGTAGTTTCAGCGTCCTGTCGTGTAAAAGGTCTTCTCCGGGCGCTTTTATACCCTGTACGCAAAGGGTGAAAGGCTATACTAGTTTTGTGCGAATGTATGTAACACACAGTAGGAGGCTTGGCAGACCCCACAAAGTATATATATTTTTGATCAGGGTTACAAGCCGAGTCGATTTAGCCATGTCCGTCTGTCCGTCCGTCCGTCCGTCCGTATGAGCGCAAGGATCTCAGAAAGTACAAGGCTAGAATTACCAAACTTGGTATCCAGGTTCCCCTAAGCCCTAGGCAGGTCAAGTTTATTTTTTTTATTCTGATACACCCGCTAGTCCCTATACCACCACAATTCGTGTTTTTTTTATAACTTCCGTAATTCCTGGAATTTTGAAATCAGTTTTAGTAGTTACGTCCAGTTAGTGCTTATGTGTCCGTATGCCAAGTTTCATCATGATGAGTCAATTCTGAAGAAAGCTATTCTCTACAATTTCAAGAATGACGTATTACTTCGTTCATTAAAATATTTTGGAAAATCACGTTTTGCATATATTTAATTATACTTTACGTCTTGCCACGAACCAATAACAACTCATTACTAATATGCATATGCATAATCATTTATGCATATGATCAACAGAAAAACTTCAAAAACTCTAGCTTCCAGTTTCGAAATAGTGCGACATAATATTGAATGTATAGTCGACTTTAGAATGTGACATTTTTTTCTAAAGATTTAGGGGGGTGGGGACAATGGCCCATCCGCCCCCCGGCCTGCCATCGGAGTGTATGAATAATCAAAACGAAATAAACTAGCCAGACAGTTAGCCATTAATTGTACTAGTATAAATATCGGTGGCATATTCTAAGCGGTCCTCATTTAAGTAGTAGCCGTGAATGCATTAAGATAGACCTGAAGATTATTTAGCCAAGCGCAAATCGAAATAATATCAAGCTGAGTTTTAGGTTTCGCGTGTTAAATTCAACAACAAACCCGAAATGGAAACGGAAGTGCAAGCGTTTTATAAGAACAAAACCATTTTTGTAACCGGTGGGAGTGGCTTTTTGGGCAAAGGTATAACAAAAATTTGATAAATTCAGTAAATGCGAACGTTATAAATTATAAATACGAGTATTGTGCAAATTGATTGATTAACGCAGGAAGTGAATATTACACGTAGAAGTGCTAAGTGCCTGTGTTGAAAGGACAAATGGGTGCTGTGAAACTTTGATAAATACTGCAGAAAAGCGGGAGTGAGGAGAACATACTCGAGTTGCTTAATCAAGTTGTTATACTGAAGATGACTCTTAAAACAAGAAAGGAATGCTAGAGTCGCACAAAAAAGAAAACAAATTTTAAAAAATGTTAGAAGTTAATTTCACATAAATAATAAAAAAATACTGGACCTACCCAGGGCTTAGGAAAACATGGATACCATGTTGATACTTGTAATTCTAGCTCTTGTACCTTCTGAGATCCATGACCCCATATATCAAATAAATTATCAAGAATATAAATACTTTTTGGGATCTGCTTCTGTGTGTTACATACATACGCACAAAACTAGTATACCCTTTGGGTACAGGGTATAAATATTAATATAACTAACTGACTAATTAATAACAACAAACCAACAAAGCAGCGGCAGTTGAAGCAAAAAGGTAACCTGCTTTTGGGTAGGAATTGATAATTTTATTTAAAACTATTGATTTATTGCTTGCTGCAGTGTTCAGCCAGTTTATTGGAACTTTGTTTTTAAAAGAATACAGTTTTAAAATGCAGCTAAATTTTTATGCTAAATCAAAGCCACTGGGTAAACAAATAGGTACATAAATTGGATTTTACAATTGCTTAATGAACACTCATCGCAGTGACGGTTTGAAGTTTCAAAGTTTAGCTCCAAATTTATAATTCACTAAAATCTAGCATCAAGATGTCATTATCGAGCGGTGATTGGCCTTTTGATTATGCCCAGACTTAAGGTCTGAAGTCTGCCCTGTATGCGTAAGACGAGCTTTTGCAATATGCAGCTGCAATGTATTCATTACATTTACATAAACATCAGTCACAAAGAAAAATAATGTAAATATACATTTTCAAGTCGTGCACGTGTTTGCAAATCAAACATGTAGGCCAAGAACACGGCACAATATTTAAATTCCTCATGGCACATATGTACATACATATGCAAAACAAGAGAGAACGCTACAGTCGAGCAAGCCCGACAGTGTAATACCCTGTACCCAGGTAAACTTCCGTCACTGAGTTATATGCGCCCATAGCAGCAGCAAAAAGAGGAAGAAGAAGAGCGAACTTGTTGCTGCAGTTTGTGGGGGTTGTACTGGCGAGAATTTGTTTCGCTAATAACTTTTCTTAGAATTGACAGAATTCAAAAAAATTTTAAACAACAGTAGATAATTATTTATAAATTATGTGTGCAAAGTTTGGTTAAGGTAGCATTTGAAATGTGGACGCTATTGACGAAATTCTGTAGCGGGGAAAGGGGGGAAAATTAAAAAAAATAAAATAAACTCGTCCTTTCTCGGACCTAGGCGAATCTGGATGCCAACTTTGGTTATTCTAGCTTTTATAGTTTCTGAGATCCTTGCGTTCATCCAGACGGACAGACGCACGGACAGACGGACAGACGGACGGACGGACGGACATGTCTAGATCGATTTCTCTCGTCATGCTGATCAAGAATATATATACTTTATGGGGTCGGAAAAGCTTCCTTCTGCATGTTACATACTTTGCACAAACCTAATATACCCTTTTTACCCTACGGGTACAGGGTATACAAATTGCAGCTATATGCAAGGGCGTACGCAGCTTTTACGAAAGGGGGATGCGAAAAAATTAAAAATTTGATTAAAAAATGCAGAATGCTTTTAAAAAACAAGTAAAAAAGCTAAAGTCGGGTGTCCCGACTTGGAAATGCCATGTACATATGTTTAAAATAATTATAGAAATTGAAAAATTTAAGAATATTTAAAAAGAATTTGGATCGATTTTTCGGTATTCGAACTCACGTAATTGCACATTTACATAGCAATTGCGTCTATGTGAGTGTATGTATGTTTGCGCAAACATGTTTGCAGTCAACCAAAGCACTAGCATCAACAACAGCTGCGGGCAGCGCGTGGGCAGCAAATATATTTATGGCTATAACTTCTTGTTAAATGGGTCTATCATAGTGAAACTTACGAACACATAATAACTAGCTGGGGGTATTTGCAAAATTTTAGTTCGAAATTCCAAGAATTACGGTAGTTACGATTTGCATGGGAGAGGGGGGAGGGAGGGAAATTCCAAAATATACATTTTCTGCGTATTCACATAAGGCATCTTGGACTAAATTTGGTGTTCCTAGGTCTTATGGTCTCCGAAATATAGGCGATAATACGAATGGAAAATCGGGAAAGCCCCCATAGGGGCGAAGTGATGGGAAAATCAAAAAAATAAAACAAACTTGTATAGCGTACACACATAAGGCATCATTGTACAAAATTTGGTGTCGCTATCTTTTGTAGTCTCTGAGATCCAGGTGTTCATACGGACGGACAGACAGGGCAAGATCGACTCGTCTTGTCACGCTGATCAAGAATATATATACTTTGTGGGGTCTGCCACGCCTCCTTCTGCCTGTTACATACATTCGCACAAAACTAGTATAGCCTTTCACCCTTTGGGTACAGGCTATAAAAAGAAATCCAAATTCTTGACTTTCAGTGCTACTTGAGAAAATTATGCGCACAACTGAAGTGAAACGCTTGTATATTCTTATGAGACCAAAACGTGGCGTGGAAATACATGAGCGTATTGCCTCCTGGCCCACCTATCCGGTAAGTATTAATTATGCTAACGAAGGCCTCCGTTTAAGTCTACAAGTAAAGCTATAATTTGTAAAGAAATGGTCCAATTTACAAATTCTGTATTTCTTTTCGGTCAATTATTACTGTCAACAAATACATAATTGTGTGTTTACCCTATTTTGAAATTTTAATTTTGCTGTGCTATTTATGTTAGGTATGACCCATTTCATTTGCATTTCAAACGCATTCTGAGATTAGCTTAAAAACTTGAACGACCGAATGCATTTTTTATCCAAAAATTTGGAATGACAAAAAATATAATTTTGATTCTACGACTAAAATATCATATCCAATTCGTTGGTGCTGCTTCACTGAGATTTTATCTGCATCATTTGTCATTTGTGACAAATTTTTAGAATAGTTCGATAGTTTGTGAAGAATTAAGACAGGTTTTATTAACCGGTGAGAAACGCATCTTTTACTTTATGAAAAATAATTTATGGAATAATTTTCGGAATTCGAATACAAGAAATATGAAAACCTCATAGATAATATCTAATATCGTAATCCACAGCTCTTTCAGAATTTGTTAAATGTTAAGGCCAATGCATTTGAATGCTTGGTGCCCATAGCTGGTGACTGTGCGGAACTTGATCTTGGCATTTCCGAGCAGGACAGACAGATATTGAAGAATGAAGTACAGATTGTTATACACAGCGCAGCGACCGTGCGTTTCAATGAGCCGCTGCATCATGCGCTGGACATCAACGTTCGTGCCACCCGCCTCGTGATGGAATTGGGCAAGGAAATGCAGCATTTGGAGTCCTTTGTACACGTTTCCACTGCCTACTCCAACTGCGTCGTAAACCACATCAAGGAAACTTACTATCCGGAACTTCTCAGCTGCCCAGCCGCAAAGGTTTTGGAATTGAAAGATCAGCTGAGTAATGAGCTGCTTGACAAAATGACGCCCGCATTACTGGACAAATTTCCCAATACCTACACCTATACAAAGGCGTTGGCCGAGCACCTGGTCCAGACCGAATCGGGAGATCTACCAATGTGCATCTTCAGGCCGGGCATAAGTAAGTGAAAGTTGAGATGTTAGTTGTAGTTGTAGATGTAGTTAAGAGTGGTCAGAAGAACCCATTACTTATATAATGACACTTCTGCTGTTTTTTAATTACACAGTTGGTTAGTCACAGAATTTGAACGTTTCCTTTTAGTATTCAGTATTACTAATGACCGTATGATTTATTCTAATTTGATGTTCACTCAACAGTTATTACCAGTTACAAGGAGCCTGTGTCGGGCTGGATGGATAATTTTAATGGACCTATTATCATACTCCATGCCGCTGCTTTTGGAGTGATGCGTATTTGTCGAGTCGATGTAAAAAAAGAGGCGAATGTTGTGCCCGTGGACTTCTGTGCCAATTTGTTGATAGCGAGTGTCTGGAAAACAGCCATTGATGCAAAGAGTGCCAAGGAACAGAATCCTGAGCAAATAACCCAGAAGGATGGTGAAAGCTCAAGAACATATTGCATTCAGAAAGAAGAAGAGCAAATAACCCAGAAGGATGGTGAAAACTCAAGAACATATTCCATTCAGAAAGAAGAAGAGCAGAAGACTTTTGAAAAACCAATCTATAACTTTGTGTCCAGTGAGCACAACCCATTAACATGGGGCGCCTTTATAGGCAAGGTGTCCGAGCTAGGCCCCGCCTATCCCATCACTAAGATGATATGGTTCCCATTTCTCATCCCCACCAACTCCCAGTTTCTGTATCAGTTGCTTATTTTCTTTTACCACGTAATACCTGGATATGCCATCGATCTGATATTACGTTTAAGGGGAAAGCGTCCTCGCATGGTAAAGATTTATGAAAAGATACATAAGAATTTCGAGATTCTAGGACCTTTTGCAGAAATGAACTGGAAGTTTCAAACCACAAATATGCAGCGATTGTGGGAACACATGTCAATATCTGATCGTAAGAATTATGAATTTGACATGACGAAGGTCAATTGGAACGAATATTTTGGTCGAGCGCTTGCAGGCATGCGTATCTATTTGGCAAAGGAAGAGCCTGGTAATGAGTCTATAGAGCGGGGCAAAAAAATTCGAGCACGGTAATTATATTGGTGCAATTATTCGGGGATTTATTTATTTATTTATTATCTAAACGACGTTTGTTAAATATTTTCAGATTTGAGATCCTTCATCGTTTATTACAAGTGATTGTCTGCAGCGCCGGCGCGGCTATTTTATGGTCTATGGTCACATTACTTATCAGATTCTAGTTTATTTTATATTTTTAACATTTAAGGAGTTCGCAAAAAAACAAATTGTAAGAAAATCATTCGATATGTGTGCTCTGGGAAATATATTTTTAATTTTTTAAAGCTTTTTAATGGTATTAGCATAAATAAGCTTAAATCCAAAATGTTAGTATTTCTCTTTCATATTGTTTGATGATTTTTAAAATTTGTAAATATTTGCAATATTATAATTCAACCTGACAACTCTGTCGTTGCAATCGGTCACTTTTTTTAGCTTGGCTGTTCATTGTATTTAAATATTAAAAACATATTCTGATCTTGCTTTTTACCTACGTATAACTTTTTCAAGTGTCATATATTTTTGTGATCGATGTGCCAGCATTAACGATTGTGACTAAAAAAACGAAAAATCTTCATACATGCACCCACTGCGTGCATTTGAGCTTTTTCATAGACCGATATAACGAACTTCTTTTTTGTTGCATACGTTTAGGTTGTGAATAAAATGCACTCTTGCTGGTTAAAGTCTTGTGATTTTGCCATAAGCTTGGGCCAACGGACCCTATAGTGCAGTGTTGGTTGTGTGACTGCACCGGCAAGGACAATGGCTACTCCTGCCGCGCACTCTTTTGTTCGTGCCTCAGACGAAAGAGCTTCATCTTCACGATCGCCTGCTGTTTCTATTGTGCTGTTCTCGGAATATGTTAGACTAGCAGGTATTGCCCGTCTTAACCCGGCTCAATATAATGTTTCCAATTGTATTTATTTTGTGTGTGCATAACCTACCCATATGTTTTCACCTTATAAGTTACCAGTAGGAAGGCATTTAAGGTATTTAAATGAACATTTTCTGTTCTTGACAAAAAATTGTTCAGTAGTCCGTTACATTTTTGTTCTTGCCAAACTATTTCGTCCAACGAACATGACCACCATAACTAATATTTTTTAAAGCTCGTTTTCCCCCCGTTGGAGCTAGAATTTTCCAAAAGCCTTTCTTAGTGTGCTCCTACACTATGATGGATACTATGAAAAGATACTTGAGTCCAAATTTCATCTTTTACCGTTTGGGCTGTGCGTTGATCACCAATTAGTCAGGACAAACTGTTTTATATATAGAGATAACGCAACGTTTTAAGATAGACGATTTGCAAAAAAGGGGGAATAATTATAAGGGTATATCCTAATTTTAAATTCACATTTGAGCCTTTTCGTGCCATATTGAGTCAATACGGTCACGCACAAACTCGGAATATGAAACACGGCACTCGTGTCAATGCCGTGCAGCGATGAGCCACGATCAAAAAGCACTGACAATTCTCATCTCAATTTGCTAGAGTAAAACTTTCGATAGTTGAAGCCACCGATACCATCAAAATATCGAAGTTTGAATGCAATAAGCAGAATATTTAAATAATAAAATCTAATTATTTATTGAGATCAATAAGAACAAATCATATACATACATACATCTGCCCGCAATGCGAAGCAGAATATGCGTAGCTCCGTTATTCGGTTTCTGCTTTACTATCGCATACGCAGTCGTTGCTTAGCGACGGTAACTGTAAACTTTTGGCGTTTTGCCTTTGCAATTAACATTAAATGGTCAAAACGAAAGAAGATGTGCGAGCCAACAACTTAAAGTTGTTGTTGTTGTTTTGTATGTACATGCTACATACATATACAGGCATACATGCATATGCATGTACATATGTATGTATGCATGGGCACACATAGCCACGAACTGTTGCTTGTTGTATGTATGTGTGGGTGTGTGTATGTGATGTCCCCAACTATTTGATATTTGATATATGGCAAGTAAAAAACATATTGCTATATTTTAATCGTTGAATGCCAATTTGTTGATATAATGTTGATTACATTACCCAAATTTGAAATCGATCGGACAAAATTTATAACACAAACTATTCATTTGAAAAAGTGAATAAATATTAAAACCCCAATAATAAAATTAAATGCGATATATCGAAAATATCGATACTTGTGTTGATATATCGTAATACATGTCGAATACAAATACATCGAAAAACATCGTTTGAGAGTTATTGATTATAATACTGTATTCGATTGTTCACTGTACACATATGTACATACATACATACAAATGTATTTGTGTGTGTACGGTAACTGTAAACTTTTGGCATTTTTCGTATGCAATTAACAGCCGTAAATTATCAAAACGAAAGAAGTTTTGCGAGCCAGTAACTTGAAGTTTTTGTTTTAAAAATTTTGATTTGAAAACATAGAACACTATTTATTACAATTAAACAACAGTGTTCGATGGCCCACTGCATACATACAAACCTATATATGTATATAAGAATGTATGTACGTACATACATACTTATTGATGTACATATGTACATACTATACATACAGACGTATGTACATATGTATCTACGTATGTAATACATATGGTGCTGGTGTAATTCATAATGCGAAATTCTTTCTAAGGGGAGCAATGTCCCCCCTGCCCAACCTGCGTACGCCCTTGTAGTCCGTTGTCCTAAAATCCCTTAAGCCAAATGTACTAAACAAAGAAAAAATAACATAAAAATGTTTATGTTATAATGTTAATAATTTTTAATTAATTAACATTTCTTGCCCTGTCAGTGCAAGACGAATGTACTTTTATACATATGTATGTATGTATATATGTACATACATTTGTACAAATGAACATTCACACATTAGTGTCTCACATTTTGCTTTGGCTACTTCAACCGTTTGCACGCAACTACACGAACAGCTGCTTGTATATATGTATGTGTGTGTGTATGTATACTTAGTTGTCCCCAACTGTTTGATATTTTGTATTGTTTGTTCTGCCTGCATTTGTAAAATGCATATTTTAAAAATCGTTAAATGCAAAGTTGTAATTTTAGTTACGTAGATTATATTACCCAAATTTGAAATCGATCGGACAAAATTTATAACACAAACTTTTCATTTGAAAAAATGAATAAATATTAAAACCCCAATAATTCAAGCTCCAACACAAATTTTGAAAAACCGAGTATGCAGTTTTGTTTGTATTCTTTTATAGATTATAAAAACCAAATTTAAAGTTGATCGATTCAGAAATGCAGAATTTTCAAACAAACTTTGGAGCTACTTTTCCCCCCTTTGGAGCTCGAATTTTCCAAAATCCCTTCTTAGTGCTCACTTTCACTATAAGAGGGATCTTGTGTCCAAATTTCAGCTTCCTAGCTCTTACCGTTTGGGCTGTGCGTTGATTGCCAATCAGTCAGTCAGTCAGTCAGTCAGTCAGTCAGTCAGGACAAACTGTTTTATATATATAGAGATTTAGATTGTGTAAAATGTAAGTTGATGACTTTTCACCGGTGCAAGCCTCATTTCGCATTCCATTTTATTTAAATTACTTTCCGACTAGACTTAACGAACACATCTGACCTTGGCTCAAGGCGGTGTATATAAGTTAATATTTTAGAAAGCTTTAAGCGAGACGTTTCTCCTCCTTGTAGCAAGCGACGAAGTTTGGACTTCTCAGATTCTAGCCTATATCCAAAGGATAACAGGGTATAAAAATGGAATATAAATTTAATTGCTGTAGCCTTTTTAGAATAGCTGCCGCAAAACTCTGTGCAATGTGTTGAAGGCAGCTAAGCAAATTATACTGTAATATTGTCAATTACTTCAACCTTTACAAACATTAATAAATAACAAACAGTGTTTAACTAAGAAAACACATTTTCATACTTATTTGGAATTCCCCCAGCTTCGAAGGGAGGTCTTTAGAAACCGGCTTTAATGAAAATTCAACTAAAATAAAGGCAAACAAAGTAGTGTATCGAAACCATTCCAGTTAGGCTAAAGAAAGGTATTCATGTAATAATGTTGGATACCAATTCTATATTAATTTATAATGATTTAGTGGGCTGCAGATTGTCATCTGCGTGCTGAAGGTGTGAACTCTAATCATGATGTGTTACTCTAATCGCAGTGACCAATGATGCTTGCTGGTGATCCTTGGGAGGATGTAGTGTGTAAGGTGATGCGGTGGTGCGGTGGTGCCGTTTTCCGAATTTACAGTTACATTTGGTGATAACTTTCAAACTGATGTTTATTGATGAATTCGCGGCTAAAATAGCTATGCTTAAATGTACTTATGAATATATATAGCGCTTTTGCGCCTATTGGTGTGAATATTGCAGGCTTGCACAATTCGGTGTTGTACTAGGCCTGCTGCTTACGTAAGTGTGTTACTTATTTAGATTGCTAAGCTAATATTGCTGCATGTGCAAAGCATTGATCGCATGCCTACACATGCTGGCGCCAACTCAATTGTATTGTGTTGACACATAATTATACCCAAGGACGGTAAAATCGATCACCAAGTTTTTGTTTAATTTTTTTAATTTCTATAATTATCCTACTGTACAGAGTATTTCAAAATCGGTACACCCGACAATAGCTTCTCCACTTGTTTTCCAAAGATTTCGGAGCCAGTGGCCTCACCGCCCCCCGCCCAGCGTAGGGTATGTACAAGTATGAAAATTGTATGAAAAAGCAAAAAGAAATAAATATACCATTGCACATTGGGCCAGGCGGCCGATTTTTTGGCATATATTCAAAAATGTCATGGAAAACAAGAAAAGAATGCTGAAGTCGAGCAAGCTCAACTCTTAAATATCCTGTACCTCCCACAAAAAAGGAAAAACTGAAAAAAAAATTTGTTAATAATTAAAAAAAATATATAAATTTAATTATTTAATTAAGACATGTTCATGTACAGTTTCAACAGCATACATTTACATCAGAATCGTGTCTCTGCGTATTTATATGCGTGTATGTATGCAGCACAAAGTTGAACCCAAGCAGCAGCAACAACAACAGCTGCGGGCGGCGATTTTATTTATGGTTATAACTCTTTAGAATTGACCTATCATGATGAAACTTGGTATACAGACACATAATGACTAACGGGATGTAGCTACCTAATTTTCGAAATTCTAATAACTACGGGAGTTATGGAAAAAAAC